AGCTGACGACGCCACCTCACTTTCACACTTTCTCAGAGATATTTGTTTTCCTTTTTCTTATATCCACAAACCCTTTTTTTCGTTTGGGAATTTTTTTTTTTTTTTTGGATAGTTGGATGTCGCATAGAAGTCCCTCTTCTTCCTTGGCATCTTCAGGGAAGTTTAATATCTGACAAAAAAACAAAACAAAAGTCAAAATAGAGATTCACTGTGGAAAAACCCTCAGTTTCTAAGTTTGTGAGTTGACTTTCTAGTTGGGTTGTTGATGAGTCCATGATGGAAGAGAAGTTGAAGAATCTCCTGTTTGAGAGGGGGGTTGGACTAGATGACCTACAAGGTCCCTTCCAAATCTTAATCTGTAAGTAAGTAACACTTTGCCATAGAGAGTGGCTGACTTGAGATGGCAGAGGCAGCACCGAGAGAGATTTTTTTGCTTGGCTTCTAAAAATTTTCTTTGGCAATATCTCCAAGCCAGCTGATTTCCCCAAAATTCTGATCACTGTGAGAAAAGCAACCCATGCACATCAGTAGGCTTCACTCACAGAGAAGAGCAACAGCTGTGCTGTCCCAGCCAGTCGATGGGAATTGGTTAGTTGCTTAAGAATTGTGAGCTGTCCCCTTAAGGGAATGCATCATGGTAAATGTAGTTCAAGGTATCCTGGGAAACGTAGTTCATGTCACGTGGCCACATCTGTAATCCTGATTGGCCACTAAATTGACCCTCGAGGGGTTGAGGGAGATTTTCCTCCATTCTTGCCTGCACTCATGGACTGATAACAGCTTTCTTTCTATCACTGCGTGATGGATTAGGAAAATAACCATTTTTACCTGCAATGCTGATATACAAAGGATTGGTCATTATAGAAGAGCTTCGTCACAAATGCGAGTTATGAGGATACCTGATGTACCAATAAATGTACTTTGTTATGGATGTTTTGTGGAATTATCTATCTGCATCTGCACAGCCACAAATCCACTTTTGTGCATGAGACGGGACAGAAAAGTAAAAAATGAATCCTAACCCATTAGAAAAGTAAAAATTTATTAATTTTGGATTTGTGATAAAGCAACGTGATATTGCACCCAGGAGTATAAATGTGTAATAAGCTGCATGTCTCATTGTTTCTCTCTCTGTGTGAGCATCAGAACTCTTTATGTGCTGTGGATGTTGGGAAGGGCTGGAGTTTCCCACATGCTACAAACAAAAGGATCTTTCTACCCACCCATCCACCCTTCCTCTCTGCTCAATTTGCCTTCCTACTATCTCAGAGACTCTATTTGCATAACAAGGAGAATTAGAAATTTCCCAGTTCTCAAAAGCTTGAGCAATCTTGCTTGTATTTTTTAAATGGAAACTAAAGCTGACTCTGCTAAGCTCACCTGGCACATAGACAAAGCCATAAAAGAGACCTTCTCCAGCCAATTTACAACTGATAAAGACACATTGTAGTTCCAGGAAGGGGCTAATTCCTCCTCCCTTTCTCTTCAGCGAAAGAAAGGCTGTGTCTCAAATTACAACTACTAACTGGAAAAAAGTAATTTGCAAAGCAGGGGAGTGACCAAGTATATCTCATCCATCCCTGTATTCATCCAATTACAAACCTTTTCCAAACGCAATGAGAAAGTTTCAGAAATCTTGCTTGTTTTGCTAAAAAGAAAGGCTTCTCTCGTAGAGGCAATCAACACTCCTCCATCTCCAAAGCAACGAAGCACAGTCCTCCCCCCAAATCACAAAGACTGATTCCACCCAGAAGCTTCAACAGGTTAGTTAGTCATTAAACTGCCTCATCAGACCCCTTTGTCTTAAACTCTCCACATGCTGTTTGCGTGGTGGGAGGGGCTGGAGCTCCCCACAAGGAGCCACCCTCCTCTTCTCTGCTCAACTTTCAAAGCCCCTTTGTCTGCTAGGAGGAATCCCTCCCCTTCTTTCTCTATCCACCCACAGATGATCAGGAGTCAGTCTGGATTGGAAAGAGGAATTTTAACAGGACTTTGTAAGATTTCTGAATCTGGTACTCAAAGAAAACTCTCCCTGAGTTTCCAATATGTGTTTGCATTGATAACTCCTTTTGAAATTATTGTGAACATTTAATCAATTTAATTCCAGTGTTCCAAGATTACCTACAACCTACCAGCTCCATCTGGTGGTCAAGAAGAAATTTACAGTGAGGTCATTTTATTTTATTTTTAAGAGTGGGCAAAGAGTCCCCCCTCCTTTTCTCTTCAGTCCACTGCCCCCTTCTGGTGGTCAACAAAAAACAAATTTCTCCTTATGTGATTTTTTTTTCACAATTTCTCAAATACTGACCAGAGTGATTATGAAACTATTGTGCATCATTTAATCAACTTAATTCAAAGGTCCCAAGAGTAACTGCAACCTAATATGGGGATAGCAACAGCATCTTCCAGACCCTCTGCTGCCCCCTTGTGAAGCAAACGACCCTTATAGGCATATTTTTGCATTCTGCCCTCAAGTCTTCAGGCTATGCTGCACATATTTCTGTGTTCAGCCCCCTAGTCCTCAGACTTTGTGATGCAACCTCTAGTGCCCCCTTTTGTCGCAAGCTCACACCGCACCCTAGAAGCAGCCATACCATGTGCTGTGCTAGCATCGGCCAGACTCTACAGTGCCACCTATGTGTTCAAGTGTTAAATCCAGCAGCAATTCTACTTTGCTACCTGCTTGCAGTGTACCCTATTACAAAAAGGAATTGCACAAAAAAACCACTAAATTTTTCCAAAATTCTTCCTTTGCCAATTTGAAGCAGGGCAACTTCCTCAGCCATGACAGATGTCTCTGATGTACCAGAAGACCCGAAACCTCCACCCACCCTTGTCGTAAATGTGGAGCCTTGTTCCCAACAACCACCTTTAGATGTCCAACCCTATGGAGAAGCCACAATACCTCCAAAAGCCTACGACTTCAGAAAGAGTAAGAATCTTACCGAACCCATGGAAGAACTCTTAAAGAACGATTGGCAGCAGTAATATCGCCACTACATAGACTCATGGGCGAAGCTTGAGAAGACCTGTGATGCCCCAATACATAAGCTACCCCCCAAGAAACTCCATGCATTGCTAGATGATCTAGATGCCCTTTTCGCACAGTGGAGACGCAGCAAAAACAACCTCAAGTCCAACCAGTCAAGACTGGGTGACCCCAAACTCCTAACATACATCCAATACTTTGAGGAGTTTCACAAGGAATGCAAAGACTGTGTTGAAGAAAGCAAGACAGCCCTCCAGGCAGTGCTCCACAACGTGCTACAGCGGGGAGGAGTGTCAAGGGAGAAGGGCACATCCAACATATGTTTTCAATCACAAGCAGCTTCTTCCCACCATTCGAAGAAGGCCTCCAAAGCAGTAAGGTACTCTGACCGAGCTGTAGAAGCTCAAATTGAAGCTGTGGTAGCAAAATCAGTTTTACCTTTCATGATGGAGGTAACATGGCAGAAAGCAGAATTGGCCAGACGACAAGCAGAACTGGTCAAAGCTCAGGCCAAACAACAGGCAGAACTGGTCAAAGCTCAGGCCCAAGTGGGGTTGCTCGAATGACAAAGAGTGACAGCAGCAAAAACAGCACGGGCCGCAACATTGCAGAAGGAGGCCAATGCCGCCTCCCTCAACTTCCATCTTGGAGACTTGAAAAGACAGAGCCCAGGTAAATGTGCCAGGACCTAGGTAGATGAGCAGCACTCGCTACAACATGAGCAAGTGAAACTGGCACAGTTACTTGGCAGTCTCCCAGAATCAAGGAATTGAAGGGGCGACCCTCAACCACAGGCTCTAGATGACAGTTCAAACATTGACATCGTAAAACCTAAAACCCGAGATTCCAGTCCCGAAAACAAAGAACCTACACCAAGGTCTCAAAACCTACAGGGCAAGCAACTTGGCCCACCACTTACTAAGAAGATTTCCCAACAAGTAGGCATGAAAGCCGCCACTGTGGCCACACTTGATCCACAGGCAACAGAGTTCCTGCCATACCTTCCAAGCAACTCTAACGCAGATGTATGGCAAGACGAATGTGGTACCCACACCCGGCAGCAAGCGACACCACCTGTGCATGTGTTAATGGATCACGACCTCCTCACAAAGTACTCTGAGGAGAACCATGAACCGTCTACAACACATGCCCTTGAGCCAGAATGCTCTGCCTATGAGGATGTTGACAGCAAAGAGCACGCAGCCGCTCTGCATCCAGAATCCGAACCATCACAGCAGACAACACATAACCTTCCCCTGGCCAAGGAGCCTCAATGTGCTACAGAGGCACCCCCAGAGCCAGTGGCAAGTGTCAACCACACAGCAGTGTGCGCTGACTCACCATGCCCTCCTTTGTGTTTTCCCATCTATTTAGCCAAAGTGTACACTGAAGGACGCCCTGAAGATGTCGTGAAAATGTACGTGCGGATAGACACTCAAAGCACCTGCACCCTGGCCAGACCTGCATTCTTCGACCTCTTTGCAGTGCAACAAAAAAAACCTTCCCTTCACTGTATCAACAGGCCATGGACCAAGAATCACGGTGGGGAGGAGAGCTACTGGACTTTGCATAGAGTCATTATATGGAAGTACCGATTCCCACAACCGCCCATGTTTGAGTGCAATAGGGCACCGAACGACCACAGTCAGATCGCGATACCTGTGGATATAAATAGCATTCCACACCTACAGCACCTGGCTCATGATTTTCCCACTCTAGATCCGGAGGCTGATATCCTACTCTTCCTGGGGAATAAGGCCCCACGCACCTTTCTCTTCTCCGAATCAGTCGGCGGCCATGTAGATGGCCCAGTGGCCATCAAATCTCCACTAGGATGGGGGATCATAGGAATTGTCAGTGACGCCCAGATGCAGACTCCAACTCTGGCAAATACCTTAGCACTATCCATTCCAACAGTCTTCTGACGCCAGCCTTAAAGGCTGCTGCCGATCACTACACTTTCTCTAGGACACCCTAAAAGGCTGCCAACAATCACCAGATGATCACTAAGATGCTCTACATGGGCATATGCCTCTGCAACTCCCTTTCCAACAGCTTCCCGATGCCCTTTGACATTGTGGAAGCAAGAGTACCATTCCAACCCTAAAAGGCTGCCAGAGGTGACCACCAGACTTTTACATTTGCCACCAAGAGTTCCTGAACACCCTAAAAAGCCGCCAGGGATGAGCAGCAGACTTGCCCCAAGAGGCCGAACTTGAAGATTGAACCTCAAGCTTTGCATGCTTTGCTTTGTTTGATGATTTATTAATGTTTACTGGGTTTTTTTTCTTAGCTATATAGCTAACTGTTTATCTTAGTTATATAGTTATATGCTATTCAGTCAGTATTACTGTTTACTGCTTATCTTAGTTTACAGTTAATTTTTTTTCTCTTCTTTTAATAGTGGAATTTACAATTCCAGGCAGGGGGTGTGCTGTCCCAGCCAGTCGATGGGAATTGGTTAGTTGCTTAGGAATTGTGAGCTGTCCCCTTAAGGGAATGCATCATGGTAAATGTAGTTAAAGGTATCCTGGGAAATGTAGTTCATGTCACATGCCATATCTGTAATCCTGATTGGCCACTAAATTGACCCTCGAGGGGTTGAGGGAGGTTTTCCCTCCATTCTTGCCTTCACTCATGGACTGATAACAACTTTCTTTCTATCGCTACGTGATGGGTTAGGAAAATAACCATTTTTTTACCTGCGATGCTGATGTACAAAGGATTGGTCATTATAGAAGAGCTTCGTCACAAATGTGAGTTATGAAGATACCTGATGTACCAATAAATGTACTTTGTTATGGATGTTTTGTGGAATTATCTATCTGCATCTGCACAGCCACAAATCCACCTTTGTGCATGAGACAGGACAGAAAAATAGCAATAGCCCTTATACTTATATACCGCTTCACAGTGCTTTACAGCCCTCTCTAAGCGGTTTTACAGAGTCTGCCTTTTGCCCCCAACAATCTGGCTCCTCATTTTACCCTCCTCAAAAGGCGGAGTCAGCCTTGAGCCTGGTGAGATTTGAACTGCCAAATTGCAGGCAACCGGCAGTCAGCAGAAGCCGCCTGCGGTACTGCACTCTAACCACTGCGCCCCCATGGCTCTTACATAAATGGAAAAGAGTTCGGGAAAATCAGAAGCATCTACAATTGCTCTCAGAACAAAATGGCTGCCCACAATAATATAAAGTTTAGCACCTGATTCGTACAGCAACGGTTCACGCTTACAATGGTGATGAAACAGTAACTTTACACCAATCCTCCCATTTAAAACCTTCCATTACTATAAATCCAAACCGTAATTCAAGAGTAGATTGGTGGATTTAATCAAGAACGGTTTTGGGAATACCACATTACTCAAACTAAAACCATTTTAAAGACTCGTGAATGAAGGCAAAAAAAATGTGTCCCAGGAAAATGCTGCATTTTAAAGATTATTTGCTTTTGATTTACTAGTCGAGGATATTTTTTGTCCCCCAATTCCAAAGTTCTTGGAGATTCATAATATAGATCATAGGAACAAATTTTAACTCTTATTGAATTGGGATGATGGTTGGGGTACCCTCCAAACCTAAATACAATTAGGAAAATTAGTTTGAGACACAACCAGTGATTTCCAGAACTGTTTTTAGCAGAGCTCACTGCTTTTCCTCAGAATTGTTTTTTTCACAAGTAATCGATGAGCCTTTGTTTCATTCTATGTATCTGTGGCTCCACTATGGAGATTCGTGGATTAGGATGAGCAACTCAGCTGATCAGGTCAGACACACAGGGAGGGGCTTAGGCTTTGCAAAAGAGAAGATCAACATGGCTACTTGGCTTTCACACCTCACACCCACCTCATCGGGTGGCTATTTTTTTTTTAAATCTTATTTTTCATTCTCTTTGAGTACAAGAGAGTTCAGGAAGATGGGCACCCTGAGGTGCTGCAGAGAGAAAGGCTGAGGTGTGGTGAAGAAGGCCGGCCGCGTCTTGAGCTGGCGGGCGTGGGTGCGATGTCCTCGGTGGGGATGACGCAGTTCCTCCCTTGGGGGTTGAATAGGAGGACTGACTCAAGAGAAGCTGCAGCTCTTCGTCTCTCTGGGGAAGGAAGAAGAGAGAGACGGAGGCTGAGACCACCTTCCCAGGAATCCCGAAGAGAAGATGGAGACCATCCCTTGGATGACAGGTCTGGGGCCTCCTCCTCCTTCCTCACTCCCATCTAAATCAAACTATTCTTCTTTCTCGTGCCCAAGATCACTCTACGCTCGCATCCTTCTCTTCTTCTAGAAGCTTCTCCAAAATTCAGCGCTTCCTTCTTCTTTCAGAGTTATAGTGGATGGGAGTCGGGTCTGAGGAAACGTCTAGCGATGATGATGTTACCTCATTTGGATAATGAAACGTCTGTAGGACAAACGAGCAAGCTCAGACAGCACCGAGCACCCCTCAACAAAGCCATCATCCTGTCTCTTGCAGTGAATAGTGTTGTGGGTGGGAGAGCTCCTATTTCCACCTTCTGCTCCTACAGCATGCAGAATAAGAGAATTGAAAGGGATCTTGGAGGTCTTCTAGTCTACCCCCTGTCCAAGCAGGGAACCTTATATCTTTTCAGACAAATTCAGAAAAATTACAAATTACTGGGAGAAATGGATCTCCTTTTTATGTAATTGCATAAAGAACCAAGATGGTTGTCTCTCAAAGCGACCACTTTAATTTACATGAATTTAATGTGTGAGTTATGAAGATATTTTTATCCCAGTTCTGAAATCGGAGGCTTTCTTTTAAAAAGTTACATTCAAATGTAAAGCCAATCTTCTTTTCCTTCAAAACTGACCGGCTTTTAGGCCCGTTTCCAAAGTCTCACTCCATCGTGTTTTCCTTTTCATCTTTTATTTTGCTTTTCTAAAAAAATTATTCTGCTTGTTTCTTCTATGCTCTGAGGAGCCCGTTACAGAAATAGAAATTACCAGTTTTGCACAGAGATCTGAGTTGCGGGGAGGAAGTGGGGTTGTATTCCATTTAAGCCACTTTCCTTTCTTTTTTCTTTCAGTTCTTTTTTGGATGAACCTGGGAGCAGGTAAGACCAATGCTTGTGCAGACTTTCTCTGCATCCACACAATGCTAGATTGGGGTGGTTGGTGCCTGTGAAGGAGAGAGAGGTCGAGATGTAGGAGAAGGAATGGTACAATCTGGAGGGAGGAATTAAAAGGGCTATTGGCCTAGAATCCCTACATAGCCACAAGCAAACTAAGTCCAACCTCTCTTGAGTGTTGCTGACCCTTATCTAACTCCGACTGTTGAGTGCTGACTGTTAGTTGAGAAGATTCTTTTAGCAATAAATCCATTTTATTGGACCTTTGTGTGTAGACATGTCTTTCATGGTTGGCACAAAATATTGCAATACCCAAAATCAATATATGATTGCAAAGGGGGTACATTGTCCACTTCTGCATTTGTAATCACTTATGTTTTGTGTAGGAATAGCCCCATCTGCCTTTGGTCCAGTGGTTTAGATAGTAGGTTAGAAAGTAGGAGGTGTGGTGAATTGTAGCTGTGCCTTAGCCATGAAAGCTGGCTGGGTGACTTTGGGCCATTCACCAGGAGGCTGGGAGTTCTAGTCCTACCTTCCGTACAAAAGCTATCTGGGTTACTTTGTACCTCTGACTGTGGGGATGCTGCAATGGTCGTAAGTATGAAAAACGGTCGTGGACCGTGGGTGACATTTTTCAGGGCTGTTGTGACTTCGAACAGCCCCTGAAAGAACAAGTTGCAAATCAAAGACTGCCTTTCTAGGAAGTCCTTGGATAATTTGAATAAAAAAACTCTGTGCAGAGAAATTGAAAGAGGTCATGGTGGAAATTGGATTCCAGGATAGGATGAAAAAGGAGGTCTAAATGGTTTCTATCTCCCACGCAGATTCACGGACAGTTTCATCTTCTGAGGCTGTAAGATTTTCCTTGACTCCTCCACACAGCATTTTTGCTAAAGGAGAATGGGTGGCCTTCGAATGTTCAGTTCCAGACAGATATCGGCCACATTATTTCATTTTCCATTGTAAAAATGAGTCTGGTGCTTCCATCCTGGAAAAAACGACTCAGACAAACATATGGAATATCAGCGCTGCACAACTGAATGTTCCTGAAACCCAGAAGATTATTTGCAGCTGCTGGTCAAAAGCCCGCACTACAAAAAGTTCCTTTTCTCCACTAAGTAATTCCAGGGAGTTCTTGGTTGTCGGTAAGGGAGTTCCTTATTGCTAGAATTCATTGTTTAAGAACTGAAAATGCACCATGAAGATGCCCTCGCTAACCAATCACAACAGAAACCGAGTAAAAAGAATAATAGAATAACAGAATTGAAAGGGACCTTGGAGGTCTTCTAGTCCAACCCTCTGCTCAGGCAGGACACCCGGTACTATTTCAGACAAATGGCTATCCAGTCTCTTCTTAAAAGCCTCCGGAGATGCAGCACCTGAAACTTCTGGAGACAGGCAGTTCCACTGATGAATTGTTCTTACTTTCAGGAAATTTCTCCAGAGTTCTAGGTTGCTTCTCTCTTTGATTAGTGTCCATCCATTGCTTCTTGTCCTGCCTTCAGGGGCTTTGGAGAATAGGTTGACCCTCCCAATCATTTATTTCATTAAACTAGACATACCCAGTTCCTGCAACCGTTCTTCGTATGTTTTAGCCTCCAGTCCCCTAATCATCTTGGTTGCTCTTCTCTGCCCTCTTTCCAGACCCTCAACATATATTTTTTTTATATCATGGTGACCAAGACTGGATGCAGGATTCCAAGTGTGGTCTTACCAAAGCAGTATATAGCAAAGTATATGTAAAGCAGTATAAAACAAAGCTGGGTATTGTAGTTTTCTAGCAGACAAAGGATCTGATATCCATCAAGAAAGGGAAGAAGGATTTTATATTTCTTGATCCAAGATTCATTCATCCCTTCTGAAAAACAACAGCATTTTTCTTATTATTTTCACTCCAAGTCTAATTCTGACCCAAATTTACTCCTCTGGTCCAGAAAAAAAAAACTTCCTAGACTACTTAGCCTAAATTGGACGACCCAATACCATTTTCATAAGCCAAATTCTCTTTACTGGGCTTATGAATTGGCTTCTGGTTAAAAGAGGAAGGAAGCGAGGACTCTTCATTGCTTCATTGCTCTTGATGTTCCTTGGTGATCCCCTTCTCCTTGTGAATCTTGCCTGCAGATATCCCTCCTCCCCCAGTGCTAAAATTGGACCCCTTGTCCCAGAGGGTGAAGGAAGGGGACTGCCTGCTTCTCCTTTGCTCGGCTAAAGGAAGCAACACCAAGAAGAAGTTCCATTTCTACAAAGAGGAAGTAGAGATCATAGAAGGCCCTCTTGAACCGTCCACTGAGCCCACCAGTCCTCTTCAAAATGCCTCTCTGAGAATCCCTCATGCCTCGATCAATCACAGTGGGGAATTTGCTTGTCGTTATGAAGAGAAGACAAGCAACCGATGGATCATGTCTTCTTGGAGCCAGAGGCTGAACATCTCAGGTGAGCCAGTTGGGGGAAGGTTGGGTGTGTTTAATTCTTGGCTGTGAGACCACCAGTAAATCCCACCACCAAGGTTAGATTAGGGAAGAGAAAATATGATCTGGAAAAGGAGCAGAGTGTTTCCATGGGATTCCTAAGTAACCTCCACTGAAAAGTTCAAGAAAAATCCATACGTGAACTTGACACAATACAGTGTCTATTTCAATCGCTGATTTAATAGGATTTAAATATTTTCCCCATTTATTTCTATATATTTTCTTTACATACAATAAGTGCTTGGTGAACAGCGTTCTGTCCGAGTCAGTTGCTTACATAGCAATACTTTTTAAAATCCTAATTTCTATGTCTGTTGTACAACCACTGATAAAAATTGTCCGATAGTACTCTGTGTCTTCCTTTTCTTTTATCTTCAAATCTATCCATTTCTGCACAGTCTAGTATTTTTTTATTATTATATCTTCTTCTGTTGGTGTTTCCTCATTCTTCTAGTATCGTGCAAAAACAATTCTTGCCGCTGTCAAGACACGTAATATCAAATGTACATCCCTTTTATCATATTTTTCTGGTATTATGTCTAACAAAAATGGCTTTGGCTTATTAGTCTAGAAATATGCTGTTTTAACATTCTTTCTAACCACATATGCATTTTCATCCAAAAATTTTTTTACTTTTGGCACATCTACCACATGTGATAGTATGTGCCCGGTATTTGATTACATTTCCAACATTTGGTGGACATGGTTTAGACATTTTTGCTAATCTTGCCGGTGGTAAATGCCACCTATAAAACACATTATACAAATTTTCTCTACACATAGTTGCCATCTTCAGTTTCTTTCCCAAAGTTTTTGCCAATTCTTTAATTCTGTGTTATATCTTGGGCTAAATCTAAGGGACTTAAATCTTGAAGAACAGAACAGGCTAAGATGTTCTTGCAAGAAATACTAAATCATCCTTTTTCTTCATTTGTTGAGCCAGTTTGGACCAGAAATTCAGATCCTGTGGGGACGTATGCCTGGACAGTGATTCTTTTGATAATCCTGCTGGTTCCATTTGCCTTTTATTGCTGGAAGAAGAAGAAAAACAGTAAGTGAAATAATCCAGGCACATGTGACTAAGGCTACAGGCAGTTCTTGACTTACGACCACAATGGAGGCCAAAATTTCAGTTGCTAAGCAAAACAGCTGTTAGGTGAGTTTTGCCCATTTCACAGCCTTCTTCCACGCAGTTGGTAAGTGAATCACCACAGTTATTACGTTAGGAACACCATTGTTAAGTGAATCTGGCTTCTCCACTGACTTTGCTTGTCAGAATGCCGCAAAAGGGGATTGCATGAGCCCGGGATCCTGCAACCATCATAAATGTGAGTCAGTTGCCGAGCGTCCAAATTTTGATCCCAGGAATGCTGCAATGGTCATAAGTGTGAAACAGCGGTCATAAGTCACTTTTTTTGGTGCTGTTGTAACTTCACTGTCACTAAATGAATGTTTGCAAATCCAGAACCATCTTTAATTTGCTGCGAAAATTGTGTGTCTGACATTCCTTCCTCCACTTACTCCCCCCCCCCCCCCCCATGGATATGTCCTTATAAAATAGATTGATGTCAATCAGAATAGAGCTGGAAGGGTCCCCTTAGAGGTCTCCTACACCAACTCCCTGCACAAGCAGGAGACCCTATCCCATTTCAGACAAGTGACTGTCCAGTCTCTTCTTAAAAACCTCCAATGAACAGAGCGCCCATAACTTCTGGTGGCAAGCAGTTCCACCGGTTAATTCTTCCCACTGTCCGGAAGTTTCTCCTTAATTCCAGGTTGGTTCTCTCCTTGATTAGTTTCCATCCGTTGTTTCTTGTCCTGCCTTCCGGTGCTTTGGAAAATATGTAAGAGACTAAGTTTAACTCTCTTACCTTGAGCCATCTTACTTAGTGTCAGAGGTGGCTACTTGTGTCTGGAGACCTCGACTGAGAGGTTTTCTATGGGTGCTGGGTTTGCGATGATGGGGCAGGAAATATGGGGTCAAGACTCACCCCTTCGTCTTCCTCTTCCTTTTTACTTCCTCTTTCTATTGCTGCCTCGCCAATTGCCATCCTGGGAAGGGCTAGAAGTCAAGGAACCCAACGAAGAAAAAGAGGAGCATGGGAAAAGGCACCGTCAAACAGAAGCAGCAGCAGTAGCACCTGTCAAGGTACCATTTATGAGATTCATAAATGCATTAATTCAGTCCACGCTGGGAAGACCTGGAAAGTTCAACCAGGTTGATGGAATCTCTCCTAGCGGCTGATGGTGTCCTCCACGGTCACTCCACCGTTGCTTGAGAGCACCAAGGACCCTACAGGTGCATTTAATCTGCGATCGATACCCTCTGTTTTTCTTTCTTTTCCCCAGGAATCAGAGGTCATCTATAGCGCCTGTCGGGTCTCCTCCAGTCTATCTTCACTTGGGCCAGTGATGGAGGACCACTTCCCACCACAGAAAGAAGGGACGGTGTTGTACAGCGACCTTCTCTTTCTACAAACAGCAAGGAAACATGCGGCATATTGACTGCATGAAAAGGCAACGATACATGACTTTGATAGACAATGCTTCTTAGGTCTTCGTTTTTGCAAAAGATGCTTAGGACTTGGTCAGTTTTAAAGAAATGCCATTGTTCAAAGTACAAATATACATTTAATCCAGCCGAGTTTTATTAATTTGTTGGAAAAAAATGCACGTATAGCCTTCCTTGTTCCATTCTCCCATCCCATTAAAATGACTCTGTAAAATAGATTGATGTAAGAGAAAATAAGAGAATGGATTTGGTTTAGTGGTTAAGGTGTCAAGCTAGAAACTGGGAGCCTGTGAGTTTGAGTCCCACATTAGGTGCAAAACCAACTGGGTGACCTTGGGCCAGTCACTCTCTCTCAGCCTATGGAAGAAACCAATGGCAACCCCAAAATTCATATCAAGAAGACTGCAGCAACATGCCTAGTTAGCTGCTAGGAGTCAAGGAAGAGGAGGAAGAAATGATGGAGAAGGGGGAAGGGGAAAGGGGGAGGAAGGAGAAGGAGAAAGAAGGAGGAGGAAGAGGAGGAGAAGAAAAAGTAGTAGTAGTCATCGTCGTTGTAGTAGGAGTAGCAATAGTAGTAATGGTAAATATCTGAATTAAGCCTGGTTGGCTTTGGTTGTATTCGTAGGAGGAGTTTGGGAACGCCAAGCATATTGGTTAGATTGAGAATCACTACTCACTTCTCTGAAGCCACCAAAGAAATATCATCAAAGTAGCTACCAGAAGTCAAGTTTGAGAACCAAAAGAAGCAATATGTTCCCATTCAGTCTTACTTGCGGTAAGCTTTTATCAACAGGATATGGTTGTGGTTGAGTAGGATTTCCAATGAGTTGTTGGTTGGCTGGTATGGGACGTTTCAGCTTGATTAGCTCAATTCAAGGTACTTAGCTTGATGCTATCTGGATGCGGTCATCTCCAGGGTTTAGATAGCCAATGTTTCTCTTTTTTGCAGATTTTTGCCAGACTTTATGGGCAACAAATTCTAATTTTATTGCATTGTCTTCACAGACAGTGCCAACTGTTTTATTTCAATCAGAGACGGGGAGGAATATTGTTGAAGTTGTATGAGAGATTCTCCAAGTCCTCTCTTCTCTGGATGATTTTATTCTATAGTTCTTCTTTCCTTATAGAGGTTTTGCATGAAGCATTTAAAAATTGCACTTACGACCTTGGTTTCAAGGATTAGAAAAAAATGGGATCATAGAAAAAGTGAGCTTTTTTGTAATAGAATAAAACTTTGTATTTATATTTGTATTTGCTGCAAAGGAAATTGAAAGCTTATTTCTATTTCTGTCTTTACTTTTGTTTTTTTTCTCTATGGTCTCTTTATTCTGTTATTCTTTGTTATGTTCGCTTTAAAAAACCATGTTTCTCCTTCTCTCTTCTTTTCCTTCCATCCTTCCTTCCTTCCTTCTTCCTTTCTTCCTTCCTTCCCTCTTTCTTTCTTTCTTTCTTTCTTTCTTTTTTTCTTTCTTTCTTTTTTTCTTTCTTTCTTTTTCTTTCTTTCTTTCAGATAACAATTAATCAGAGTTGGAAGGGACCTTATAGGTTATCTAGTCCAACCCGCCCCGCCCCGCCCAAGTGGGAGACCCTACACCATTTCTGACAACTGGCTTTTTGAAAGTCTCAAGTGATGGCATTCCCACAAGTTCTGAGGGCAACCTGTTCTTTTTCTCTTCTCTTCTCTTCTCTTCTCTTCTCTTCTCTTCTCTTCTCTTCTCTTCTCTTCTCTTCTC